CTGTTGAAGAATAAATGTTTTACTACCTCAGGAAAAACATAGTTGTAATTTTATTTAAATATCAAGGTTGCTATAGTAAAATTCCTTTCAGAGTCATATGAATTTAATATGAAACACTAAGATTTGAAGAGTTCCATTCTGGGGATAAATGGTGAGGCATTTAGGTTACCTGTTTAATAAGGGCTAAGAGAGAAAAATATTCACAGGTATAATAGTTTGCTTTCTACTTGGAAAGAATTAGTTTTATTCTAGAAGTTATATTTTAGAGCCATCTGAATAGATTCGTGGCTAATTTATAGTTGGAAATTAGGGATCAGGAGTTGGGATAGTGGGTAGACACATTTTCCCCAGTATCCTCTCAGATTTTAGCGTTTTTAGAATAAAAGCCTATTATTTATGTCTAAGCACACTTTAACACTTAGATTTATAGAGGCTGCTAGGAAAAGCAAAGTAAGTGTGACAAGGTTAATGAGACAGTACTTGTCTCATGGTGTGCCTTCAAAAATTACCTTGATAATCCTAGCTGACAAAACATCTTAAGGTAGGCCTAGGGGGACGTGAATTTTCACCTGAAATATCTGCATTCTCATGTAAAGTCCCAAGAATCAAACAGACTTAACAAGTAAAAGACGAACATACTAAGTTTCTTAGTGTTTCAGTCTCACTTTGCTTAGATTAATATTTCTAATAGGTCTTAGAAATATTCTAATTTGTGTGATGATTTACTTAAATCGACTTAGCGAAATTATAGTTGAGATTCAATTTGAAAGATGTATTCTGCAGTTGCTTATTAGACTGTTTATAGATCTCTAGAAAGATTATATATTAAACAGTCTAATTACAGAAAAAATTAATTTTGTTTTCATTTTAAGAAGGCATTATATCAGAATCCATACTTTCTTAAAGAAAAACCTTGAGTTAGCTAAAGGAATATTAGTTCATTAGCAAGTTAACTAAGAATTATGGAGGATTAGAGGTTCTGGAGGATTAGAGGTTCTGAAGGTAAGAAAGATTGGTGAATCCTTATGCATGAGTTATAATTATTCTCATAGTCATACAACCTTCTCTACTAGACAGGTCTTATTCTTAAAAGAAGTCTTTTATACATGATACATAGTCTTAATAACAACTAGCCTCTACTTGTAAAAAAGAAAATCCATAGCTGTTAGCTCTTTACTGACTTACCCATGTTTGTTATGTTCATGCAGTGTCTACTTACTCTTTGTATATGAAAACAGCAAAACCTTCCATGTCAGATAAGCATTTTACAAAAATGAATGTTATTGTGTGAGATAACTAGGAAATATTAATAATGTTAAGAACAAAAACCAAGAAATGAGTTGATACAGATCAACTCGAGCTTTTAATTTTAGAACAAAAAAAGTACCAAATACTTATGTTGATGTGTTTTTCCTTCTGTGGTTAAACCTTCCACGAATCTGACAAATTAAGAATTGGCTCCAAAGATTACTTTTTTAAAAAAAGTTTCTTCCACTTGCCATAAGGTTTTAAAAGGTAGAATATGAGCTTTGAAAAGAAAGACCTACGACTTCAGACACTTAAAAGTGTTTCAGTTGATGTTATGGACTTCCACAGAAGTATTATAATTATAAATAGTATAATATTATACTTAAGTAGTGTGTATAAACTGAAAACATGGTTTGCTTATGTATATCCTGAATATATTGTTTAAAGAAATTGGGTTCTTAAGACCAAAGTGTCCACAACGGGAAGATGTTAAAGATACGCTGATGAGTAAAAGAGCGATCATAATGATTTTCTGCTTGCTTATTCAATAATTTTGCTTACTGCTTCTGAAGGTTATGCTAATGAGTAAAATGAAAACTGCTAAGGAATGTAATAACCTTTACCACAGTTAAAAAAATTTGCAGTTTACTATAAATGGCTTTCAATCACGAAGGGTAGAGAGTTTTAAGTTCTTAATGGAATCGTCTATGATTATAGTTTGATATATATAATAGAAAACTGACTAAATTCAGTCAGATTTTGGGTTCAATTCTGCTGCCTGTGTGATACTTTGTAATTTATCTTAATCCTCTTCTGTTTTCCAAGACTACTTTCTCTTTTTGAGTCTTCTCCCTATTTTCCAAGATTATTAGTATATAAGACTATTATTTTGTTTTTGACATGTAGCAACTAAAGATATGAGTACTTTTCAGAATTTAGGGGACTATGGTAATTTGAGATAATTATCTGTGTTTTCTTTCGTAGCCTGTGGACATCTCTACAGCAATGAGTGAACGAGCACTTGCTCAGAAAAGACTCAGTGAGAATGCATTTGACCTTGAAGCCATGAGCATGTTAAATAGAGCTCAGGAAAGGGTATGTAGCAGTTTTTTTTTTTAAATTATTATGTACCTTCAGTCAGCTCACACCAATGTACCAGTTTTAATGTCTAAATAAGAATTTCGCTAACTAGTTAAGTTGTAACATCATTTACCTTATTTTAAATGTCTTATTTTAAATGAAAGTGATTTGAGGCTTGATCATTTATTCAATAAATGTTTATTGTTTACTATGTGGCAGGAACTGTTTCTTGAGAGAACAAAATAGAAAAATTTCCCTGTCCTCAAGGAGTTTACAATCTGGTGTATAAAAACAACTAAGTGCCTACAACCCTATGAAATGTGTAGGTAGTAATAACTGCAATATTTCAGCTGAGAAAACTGAAGTAAAGAGTGGTTAAGGCCAGGCGTGGTGGCTGACGCCTGTAATCCCAGCACTTTGGGACGCTGAGGTGGGGACAAGGAGTCAGGAATTCGAGATCAGCCTGGCCAACGTGGTGAAACCCCGTCTCTACTAAAAATACAAAAATTAGCTGGGCATGGTGGCGCACGCCTGTAATCCCAGCTACTCAGGAGGGTGAGGCAGAATTGCTTGAACCCAGGAGGCGGAGATTGCATTGAGCCAAGATGGCGCCACTGTACTTCAGCCTGAGCAACAGAGTGAGAGACTGTCTTGAAGAAAAAAAAAAAAGAGTGATTACGTGATATCCATGGTCACACAACTAATTAGTGGGGGAACTGGGATTCAGACCCAAGCAATCTGAATCTGGAGTCTGTGCTTTTAACAATGGACAGCCTCTCCATTTCATTTCCTACTGTTTTATGGTAAATCAGTAAGTACGTGTTCAGACAGGAAATACGTTGCTGATATAGCAAGGTGTTTAGTAAATCTAATTTGTGTGAATGACAGCTGATTCTTTATCACAACAAATGTTGGCGACTGAAAAAAAGTGTACAAGCTTTTTTAAAAAGTTGTTTTATGGCTGGGCACAGTGGCTCACGCCTGTTATCCCAGCACTTTGAAAGGCCGGGGTGGGTGGATCACTTGAGGTAAGGAGTTCAAGACTAGCCTGACCAACATGGAGAAACCCTGTCTCAACTAAAAATACAAAATTAGCCAGGCATGGTGGCGCATGTCTGTAATCCCAGCTACTTTGGAGGTTGGGCAGGAGAATCGCTTGAACTCGGGAGGAAGAAGTTGCAATGAGCAGACATTGCACCATTGCACTCCAGCCTGGGCAACAAGAGTGAAACTCCATCTCAAAAAAAAGTTGTTTTATGTATTCAAGTGGACAGTTTCCTGTATTTAAACTCTTTAAACCTGTGTCATGAATTTAGTCTGTATTTATAATGTCTCAAAGGAAGTAATTAAGAATCCAGGCTGTCATGACATGTACTATAATACATTTGTATGAGATAGGTAGGAAGGGAGGGTGGGGACCCATTGCCATATGAGCTCTTATTTGCATTTTTAGTTTATCTGTATGACAGTTTGAAGAATATTAACAGCTGTATTTTTTAGTAGCCGTGCTTTTAGATACATTTCAAAATCTTATTAATAGAATTCACTAAATGTTGTCAAACTGCTTATTTAGAAAGTAGGCAAACATTTAATGTTAAATATGGTTTAAAAGTTAAATATTTAAGTCTGCTTTTCAGCCATTTTTAGCGAATTATTACCAGTGACATTTTAATCAGGTAATTTTATTTAGTTAACTGAGACTACTACTTTTCTTCAGATTGATGCCTGGGCTCAGCTGAACTCTATTCCTGGCCAGTTCACAGGAAGTACAGGAGTACAGGTTTTGACACAAGAACAGTTGGCCAATACTGGTGCCCAAGCCTGGATTAAAAAGGTACACAGTATATGCACATATGAAAGTGTCAAACAAAGTTTAAATTTTTTGGAAACTTTATTAAAACTGCATGAAAAGACCAGTGACTCTAACCAAAGTTCCGAGTAAATTTGCTATGTGTATATGCTCCAGGGCGGACACTGAAGACGGACTGGATTCATGAGAAAATGGCAAATGTATAAATGTGGCTCAAGAGCCACTAATTTATAAGGTTATTTTAAAAATTGCTACTGCTGCTTTTGAAGGGGTGATTTAACTATATTTTGAACGCTAACAGCGTATCAGGTGCTGTTCAGAATATTCCACAGTTCCTGCTGGACTACTAACCTAATCATTTCAAAGCAGTGGTTCTCAAATTTTTCTTCATCATGGGATGCTTTATTACAGGTTTATTTTTGGTGGATCACTGCCCCCAAGAGCCCTCTACCACCTTAATTTTCCATTCCTCTATTCCTTTGTCCTTGCACCCCACCCGCTTCATTAGTGCCTGTGCCTTCTTGTAAGATCTCTTGGCCCCTGTTCTTTACTCCTCTTGTGACCTGTGGCCCAGGTCCTTTTGGTTGTCAGCTGCTGGTCACAGCAAGTGGTTGGGAGGCCCTAGTATTAGCTCTGCATGTGGTGATCTTGCCATGGGACTGGAAGGCTGAGGGAGGATGGCTGGAGTGGGGTGGGCTGTGGTGAAGGGGATGGGATGGAGATTAATCTGTGGACCACCATTTAGGCCCTAGTGGCCTCTGGTGATCCACAGGCTCAATTTGAGAACCACTAATTTCATGACAAAACAGATATGTAAGACCTAAAATCAAGGGAGAGGATGGACGCCTCGTGCTACGAAGATGTAGGTGCATCTGGTTTCAGATTCTGCAGTGAGACCTGTGAACTCCACCTACGGCTGCCTCATCACTGGGGGAGTCTTAGGTGGCTAAGAAGGGCATTCTGAAGAAACACCTTCTGGTGAAGGGACAAAGATTGGTTGGATGGGTGATGGGAAATTTGTTACAGGAGTACTGGCAGCATAGCAGTGCTGAAACTGGGAGGCCGCGTGGTCTAATGGATTGGGAAGGTTTCTTTATCCTGTTGTACTCCTGACTCCTTGTGTGATCGTGGGCAAGTAACTTTGGAATTTCAAAGTCTCCGAGGTGTCTAGTGGTAATCAGTAATGTGATGGTTACCTATAGAGAGTTGCTATGAGTGCCAGTGAATGAGGTGAATTTCTGAAAAATGAGACATTGGTTGCTTTGGGTATTTTAATCTTGTAACATTTATTTCAATTTTGATAGCTTTATCTTTGTTGATCTTACTAACAAATTAATATGAAACATCATGTATACTCACTATGCCTGCCTTTTTTGGGAAGTAGTTGCACTGATGTGTATAGTGAGTACACAGTTAGATTCATTAAGAAATTACAATTTCTGTAGTTTGCTGAGAGTTGGTGTTAGAATAAAGGTGAAAATATATATAGAAAAATATTTTAAAGATTGGATTAATCTTGGACTTCTGTATTATAGTTAGTATGAAAGTGATTTATATACTATTTGAAAAAATGTCTTACATCTTGGGCAGAACTATAAATGTACATCTATTTCTTTAGTTTTACTTTTTTAATACTGTTTAGTCTTGAAGCTTCAGCCAGTATTTCAGGAAGTTAGAAATAAAGCTTATGGGTGTTAAAATAGGCACATAATACAGGCAATGTTCACTACTAGGTAGAAACTTCTGAATGTGCTTCCATTACAAAATTTTGGTCTTTATCTAATGATGTGCTGATCCATAATATTTGTATACTTCTAAATATGTTAATAACTTAAATAACTTTTAAAAAGTGAATCTTTTACTGACTCAATTGGTTTTCCCCTAAAACCAATTTCTTCTGGTATTTGCAGTCTTGTAGGCAGTTAACAGACTTTGAGTAAATAATTTTAAAATTTTAGTAGCATCTTTAAAAAAGACTTTGACTTCATATTTTATATAAGATATACTTTGGGAAGCAAATCATTTTGATAAACTATGCAATAAAGATATGCTCATCAGACCAAATTTTAAATTATAGTTAAAAGTGGAACTTACAGGAAAAGATTCATTTGTATAGAATTACTGAAGAATATTTGATGCTAGTATCAACTAAAAAAGAAACTTTTTAAAATTAAACATGGACCACAATATGTAGAAGTCATTAGGCAGCTGAAAATTTAACATGTATCATTCTTGTTAAATATCACAAAGATTATCTATTCATTAAATGTGTAATTGTGTTTAGAAAACCTGTCAAACGATCATTTTGGCTCTTCTTTAGTATAGTGCAGCATCCACCTATGTGTTAAAAAACACATGGAATACCAACATCCTCTGTTCTTTTTAGTTTGTTGCAGTATATTTTTAGATTTTTAAAAAAGCAAAGTTTTATCAGTATTCTCATTAATCAGTAAAACACTTAAAATAGTTGGTTTAAAAGAACTTTTATTTCTGGAATGGAATGATTTGGATGTGACCTGATAAATAGAGTTTATTATTGTGGTCTCATTAAATTAATCAGCTTTTTCACATTGGGGTAAAGAAACAGATGATGATACTAGGGAATGGAAACAAAATTGGAAACTTGGGTTATCTGGGGATTTATATTGTACTCTGCACAGTTGCCCTTTTTTTTAGGAGTGTTCCCTGGAAAAGAGGGACGGATGAACCTGGAAGTAAGTAAAAGACATTCTAGGTGTGTAGCATCAAGGCAGTTAATATCCAAGCATCAGCTTTCTCTTTATACATCTACACTGCATGGCCTGCACCAAATAAGGAACTGAACCAGGGGTATGTTTTTACCTCCACAGCTGCCTCCTTCCATCAGAGCATCTTGATGAACTTAATGTCTAGTCACACATCATTGGCATGTTTTCTCCCCAGCATTTAATTATAAAGCTGGGAAACAAAAGATGATAGTTTTACTACTGCATACAAACATGTTTTTTTTTTTTTTTTTTACATTCAGTATTAACTTATCAATATAGGAGATGTGAATACATACTATTTCCTGAGCTACCAAAGTTTTTTTACTCTGTTGATAAGTTAATGACTTTTGCTATATGTATATTTATATATATATATTTGGTAGAGAACATAAAAACCTAAAATTTAGTAACAAGGGGAAAATAAAGCATGAACTGGAGATACATGTTTCAAATTTTTAAAAAGTGGCCATAAAGATCAACAGTAGAATTTAATACTGTTTGTTATATGTACATGGATGCCCTTTAATAAGAGGCATTGAATATTTCTTAACCTGTAAAAATAAGTGTTGATCATGCTAATGTATATACTTGTGCATCTTAGGACATTAAGTGGTTTGCTGCTTTGATGGAAATTATGGTTCAGTGGGTTGGATACAAGAGAGATGATTGTTCACAGAATAACCTGTGAACTTTCACCCCTCTGTATGGAAACTTGTTTCAGGGCCAAATCCTTGTAGCTGTCTTCTTGCCCCGGTCAGTGCCAGCCGTACTATTCACAACATTGCTGCTACCGAGGCCTAGGTATGTAAACATTTAAGGAGTTTTTTAAAAGTCTTTTAACATCAAGCTAGGTTTTAAAAGAATTCAAATTCATTTTGGCATACTTACAGGATATTTTATGTGATTGTTTTCTATTTGTTACTGTGTAAATTTCAGGAGGTTTTTTTTTTTTTTGGCTGCTTTAGGGATTTTCTAAAGTAAAATATTTATACTTGCTTTATAGTAGAATGGGGAAGAAAACTTTGGATGACAACAGTATGCTTCTTCAGTGTCTAAACTATTTCTAAGTGATTTTTGGGCTTTATTCATAAACTAGGTACACCTGGGACAATTAATATCATTGATTGTTTTAACATTGCCTTCTTTTTATTTTGCAAGCTAAGAAGAGATACCAGTGAACCTAAATAGTGGACGAAAACAGGAGTGTTCTAATTTTTTTTTTTTTGAGGGGGGCACGAGGGCTACTGTTTCAAAACTGCCATTTACTTGTCTTATTTAACTTCTAAAATACTATTACGTTAATGTGAAAATAATCAGAACATACACACTACAGTATGTATATAGAGGAATTTACATTTAATTGCTATAACAGATCTAGAAGTAAAATAAGATTCCTCTTTTTAGAAAGTAAACAATGAATCTGTTACCACATTCTAACTGTAAAATGGGGACATTTTACCTTTCTTTCTTTGGATAGGATCAGTTCTTAAGAGCAGCCCCGGTAACTGGAGGAATGGGAGCCGTTTTGATGAGAAAAATGGGCTGGAGAGAAGGAGAAGGATTAGGAAAAAACAAAGAAGGCAATAAGGAACCCATTTTAGTTGATTTTAAGACAGACCGAAAAGGTAATAAGTTCTTTTTTGAAATGTTTATTAACACCTCCTTTAACGTTACCTTTAATATATCCTTTTGAACCCAGTGATCTTGAACTGAAGGCATTTCTTGTGTATATACAGCTATTTGTCAGAAAAAACATTAACCCCTTTTGGGGTTCACAGAAGCAGCTTACTTTTATATAACTATGGATAGAGACACCAGTTTGAACTTTTAAAAGGCACCTTTTGTTATGCTAGTTGCTAAATATGGAAATGTGTATATATCTAATTATATTATTACACCTCCAAATTCAACCAGATTTCATGTTTAGAAAACAGGATTTCCATTTTATTTTCTCTTGACAAAGAACCATCCTTATTTCTAGTTTGGTTTATTTTTTGTTATTTCCTATTACAATGCTGTTTAGTCTAGATTTCATAAACCCTGTTTGCTTTTTTTTTGTTTTTTACAAGCTCAGTAGTTTAGTTGGGTTAGAGTATAGTAGACCAGCTGCTGACAATAATGTTACTTCTTCCTGTTGCCTGGTGTTAAGGCATTTTGGAACCATTAGCATTGACTGTATTTTCCTTTTACCTTCAGATACCTGGGCAGGACAGCACTGTGTCTTCCATGTAGCTTGTATGTAGTTGTTAAGTATTTAATCGTTCCCACAGATGATAGCTAATTGGCATCTTTTAAATAACTTCTTCCTTTGAAATAATGTAAGTGGAATCACGAGAGGCTTGCCAGCTCAGTATGATTTTTTTATAGCTTGTTTAAACCTCATTTATAAAAGCTGGCAAATGTAAAACTGGGATTTATTTTCATCTTTGTAATCAAATAGTAAGTTGAAGCTAACTTCAACAGTTAATCTGTGTTAATGAATTTGGAAATGAACTAGCTCTGCACCAAATACTTTGGTGTAAGTATTGTACAATTTCAGGAAGCGTTCTCCTTGGAATTGTGGGACGTGGCCTGACTGTAAGCTCTCGGAGAACCACAGATTTCCCAGGATAGGTTTGGAAAAGCTTGTATTAGCACGGAATTATTTAGCAAAGGTTGAAAAATTTCCTGTAACATACAAGATGAGCACCCCACATCTGGAAACCTGAAATGCTCTAAAGCAGAAAACTCTTTGAATCCTGATATGATGCTCAAAGGAAATGCTCACTGGTGCATTTTGGATTTGAGCCTCTTCAGATTTGGGATGCTTGACCAGTAAATACAATGCAAATATTTGAAAACCTGGAATCATGCGACACACTTCTGGTCCCAAGCATTTTGGATAAGGAATACTCAACCTGTATATGGAATTGGGAAAGCAGTGTTTGGGTTTAGCAATATAGCCTATGGAGAGGGAGGTTATGTAGAAAGGTTATGTTCATATTTTGAGAACATCTCCCATTTGTTAGGAAGGGAGAGGAGAGTTTGCTGGGAAAAAAGGAACCTATTTTATTTGGAGACAACCGCTTTTTTCACCTTTTTGGTGGCTTAAAATCCTAACCTTTTTTGGAAGAGTCTTAACTGAGGCTTTTTTGAGAGAGTAAATCTGCAGAAATCATTTGGCAATAAACTTTTTTTTTTTTTTTTTTTTTTGAGATGGAGTTTTGCTCATTGCCCAGGCTGTCAATGGCACGATCTTGACTCACTGCAACTTCCGCCTCCTGGGTTCAAGCGATTGGCCTGCCCCAGCCTCCCGAGTAGCTGGGATTACAGGCGCCCGCCACCACGCCCGGCTAATTTTTGTTTCTTTAGTAGAGACGGGGTTTCACCATGTTGGCCAGGCTGGTCTCAAACTCTTGACCTCAGGTGATCCACCTGCCTCGGCCTCCCAAAGTGCTGGGATTACAGGCGTGAGCCACCGTGCCTCTGGCCATACTTAAATTTTTGTTTTCTGTTTACATTTGGTATTTATTACAATTTCTCATACCAAAGTCTATGAATATTAAATATAAATTTATATGCTGAAAAACAGTAAAAGAGAAGAAAGAGAAGATTGATAGAGAAATCAAGTGTACTAGGAATCTGTTGATTTTATCTGAAGGCATACATTTTGAGGGTCAGACTCCTACAGAGGAATCTTTGTTTTAAAATGGTGCTTTGAAAGTTATTTAGTGAACAATTTTTTTTTTTTAAAGGTCTTGTTGCAGTAGGAGAAAGAGCACAAAAGAGGTCTGGAAACTTCTCTGCTGCAATGAAAGATCTGTCAGGTGAGAGCACATTTTTGAATTTCCTCTTACCCTAATCCCACCTTGAATTCATTATTTGTTGCAGAAGTTGGTAGAAATAATTTAAAACTGGATATTTTTTCCCCCGCTGCAGGCAAACATCCTGTGTCTGCTTTGATGGAAATCTGTAATAAGAGAAGGTGGCAACCACCTGAATTTCTGTTGGTCCATGATAGTGGCCCTGATCATCGCAAACATTTTCTCTTTAGGGTAAATATGAATTTCTGCACTAATTGTATATATTTATTAATGTGATGACTTAGAGGGTGAGGGGTAAACATGACAGGATTAAGGTTCTGTTCATGGGTGGGGGATTTGTATTTGTAGTTAAGTGGTGGGGTTTTTAAACTGAAGGGTGCTTTCATATGACTTGTCAATGTCCTATTTTTTAAAAAATTGGAAAAAAATGGGCAAAATATAGTATACAATTTGTTATTTTCTAGTTGAATGTGGGGAATTAATTTAATACTTTTATCAGTCTTTTTCTCAATTTGGAGACCTGCTTTTAATTTGCAGTCCCTTTTCCCAAATGATTTGCTGCTTCTGGGTTGAGATTATAATTTGACTTACATAGTATGGGTTTTATATTTTTGTAAATTATTTTTCTAGCATTTAGTGAAAAAATACAAAGCTAATAGATATTAAAGTTTGATGCTGTTCTTATTGTATGTTTTTCTTGAATAGGTATTGAGAAATGGAAGCCCTTACCAGCCCAATTGTATGTTTTTCTTGAATAGGTATTGATAAATGGAAGCGCTTACCAGCCCAGCTTTGCCAGCCCTAATAAGAAGCATGCTAAAGCCACAGCAGCTACTGTGGTTCTTCAAGCAATGGGCCTTGTACCAAAGGACCTCATGGCTAATGCCACTTGCTTCAGGAGTGCCTCACGTAGATAGATTGAGGTTTTATAATAATCATTTCAGATAATTTTACTCTGCATCACAATGTATTTCCTCTTTAATGTTGTAAATATTTGGCAATTTAAGACATTGTGTAAAAAGCAATCTGTAAAAACATCTCCAGGCTTTGATTTTTGTACCATGGAAATTGTATTTAACCATACAGGGTTTTGGTATGTTTATATTGTTTACCTTAGTGATGTATTTGTTTAAGTGGCTAACATCCAAACGATTGTTTGAAGGCATCAGAGTAATCTTCAGTGTGGAATGTTAAATAACGCTTTTATACTGTATTTTGTACTATGATGTAACTCCCCTTCCTTATGGCTAGGCTACTGTAACACTTGCCTGTAATCAGTGAAGGGCTGTGCACCTTGTACTATTTCACAATGGGTTCTGCTGGACAGATACTGGGCCAGTGTTATTGAGGTGATCAAGATCTGTTCCACAGGGCTATTGCCACCATCTCCCCTCAAAATTTTGTAGAGGTTCTAAAAAGAAAGTGGTATGTTGTGTGATGATCAGCACTAAGTCCTGCATTCCTGTTAAAGCCACTTGGGTCATAAGAAGGGAGTAAAAAATGAAGTCTGACTAGAATTCTACTATTGCAGAGGCCAAGTACATTTAGTATGGCATTGAGTTGTGATATAGTTTTACTTTGATGTGCATTTTGAATTTCAGCTACACCTAGATAGACGTAAAATGATAATTAAAATGCTGTAACCAACTTATCTAATAAAACTGGCAACCAGCCACTATTTTGTTGACTATGAGAAAGTTAAAGTTTATGTTAATTTTTAGGGTCCGATAGAATATTTCATGTGTATTACAGTGGTATTCATATGCTATGTCTCTAAACTTTATTTTCAAAAGCTTAAGGCCCAAATACAAACTTCTCTGGAATAAACGTGGTGTTTTATTTTCTGGATTATAAAGTGAACAAATACTTAGATACTATTATTTCTTTACCCAATGCTTTTGATTTCTAAGCACTTTTATTTTAAAAATGTGAATTAATACAATCCCAACACACACACCACACACACACACACACACCCACCCCCACACCCCCACACCCTATAAGCACATTAAATACTACTTTGCCATGACAGCTCAGTGTGTACTTCACAATTCTTAACACTATTCTATGTGGAATACAAAATGCCTTTTTATCTGAATTAACATGCATTAGAGTTTTAGTACATGTGAAAATAAAGGAATTATAAATCAGTAGGAAAGATATTAAGGTAGAAGCATCACCAATCAGCTAGCTCAGTAGATGTTATCTATATTTATTTTCTACCTTTATGGAACAAGAACCTGCTAACAGTCTTAGGTAAATGGTAAAGTAACATATTTTTGCCTTGATGCCATTAGTCACAATGCCATGAGGTAACTGCTATGTGATTTCCTATTTGCAAGGAAACATTAATTCAGTTTCTACTCAATATACAATTAGGTTGTAGGGATACAGATAGCTCATTTGAGTTATCTGAGTTTTTCATCTTTGTATCTAAAAATCTAATCTGGAAATAGTAAAAGCAGAACACACTGATTTAAAACCTTAGATGCTACTGTAATAAAAGTTATGTTTATAAACATGTCAGTATAGTCCTTCAACTTCAGGAATCTTGAATTTCCTTGCTAGAAGGCTTTTTTCCTCAAAGATTCCTTTTAGGCTTACTTTGGTGTTCAGGATCTCCAATTATAAATGTAGTCTCTCAGCACCACATTCCGTAAAGCTGATTTCCCAAGTAATGGTATTTGACTAAGTTGCTCCAGAGTGTTAGGGTGCAAACCACAGGTAGTAAGCTCCTTATGAACAACCTCCTGTGGAAATGTGTATACAAGTCAGTAAAAAGCACATCAATCTTTAAACACAAAAGAGTTTCAAATAATTACTATGGAGACTGACAAATGTCTCATTCACGTGATTCATCCTATCAACAGAAGTTGATCCTAAGAATTTTTGTAGTGACAAAATCCCAAAACATTAATGGTTATTTTTATAAGTCTAGCCAACTGAGATGCATGAGGTAATTTTAAAGGTCTTAATTATTCTAGCTCTAAAAACCTTAAGTATATTCAAAATTAAAGGCAAATATGGTTAAATAAATACCCACAGTGAATCATGTTTCCTTAAACTATAGAGGAATCAGGTACTATTGAGTTTTGGATCCAAGAGGAAATGAAAATAAAAGTTGTACCTTTTTGAAATGCGAAGTTCTTCAGTCACTGTTAAAACTGTATTTGGACTGAGCCCGGGCGCCATGGCTCAAGCCTGTAATCCCAACACTTTGGGAGGCCAAGGCAGGTGAATCACCTAAAGTCAGGAGTTCAAGACCAGCCTGGCCAATATGGTGAAACCCCGTCTCTAATAAAGATACAAAATATAGCCGGATATGGTGGCACATGCCTGTAATCCCAGCTACTTGGGAGGCTGAGGCAGAATTGTTTGAACCCAGGAGGCTGAGGTTGCAGCGAGCTAAGATCGCGCAGCTGCACTCCACCTGGGCAACAGCAAGATATCGTCTCAAAAAAAAAAAAAAAAAAAGAAAATTGTACTTGGACTGAATTCATGAAAGCTACCTCACAAAAACAACTTATAGACATATTCTTTCCTCTAGTAATTCATAATTAAGTAACAGTTTAATTACTTGAAACACAAAAGTGACTCAGCATAAATGACTCACTTCCCTCCAGCTAGTTAAACAACTAAAACAGTCTGCTCGTAGGTGTCTTTCTTACCATATCAAGTACTTTGTCCACTGGCAGGCAGATGTTAAATACAGCAGTTGGCTCGTGTGGATGTAGTACTGCAGAGAAAGATCCACTCTGTGAAGATTTGAGCAGCATGGTCAGTGAATGCAGAGAATGAGGCATGATAGGACCTGTAATCTCCAAACTAAACTGGTCTCTGTATCCAGAAAGAGCTTGTGTCTTCACATTTACACTTCGTGCCTTTATGAAAATTTAAAGAAAAGGAAAATTATGATCATCTCTCAACCTTTTGTCTAGCCAAAAATATGTTCAATATATTTCCATTTGGGGTTTCCTCTCTTTAACAATTATGGAACAAAACTATTTCCCAAGACATCAAAACAATGTTACGTGAGTACAAATACTTAGTAAATTTTCAGCATCCTCTCCATATTATGAGATTTTCAGGTGATGTATATTCCAGAGAATACCACTTTTTCATATGGTATTTTGTCTGATTTAATAACACATTGTCAATGCAGACTATTGGAAAAACAAAAACTTAAAGTCCATTCAATTTTATTACTAAGTAATATAATTGTATGTATTTTGCATTTACATATATAATTTATTATGATTATAATCCCAGCACTTTGGGAGGCCAAGGTGGGAAGATCACTTGAGGTCAGGAGTTCAAGACCAGCCTGGCCAACATGGTGAAACCTTGTCTCTATTAAAAATACAAAAAAATTAGCCAGGCATGGATGGTGGTGTGAGCCTATAGTCCCAGCTACTTGGGAGCTGAGGCAGAAGAATCGCTTGAGCCCGGTAGGCAGAGTTTGCAGTGAGCCAAGATCAAGCCACTGCCCTCCAGCCTGGGTGACAGCAAGACTGTCTCTAAATGAATGAGTGAATGAATGAATGAATGAATGCAGGGCGGCCAGGTGCAGCAGCTCATGCCTGTAATCCCAGTACTTTGGGAGGCCAGGGGAAGATCATGAGGTCAGGAGTTCAAGACCAGCCTGACCAATATGGTGAAAACCTGTCTCTACTAAAAATGCAAAAAAAAAAAAAAAAAATATTAGCCAGGCGTGGTGGTGCACACCTGTAATCACAGCTACTCAGGAGGCTGAGGCAGGAGAATCGCTTGAACCTAGGAGTCGGAGGTTGCAGTAAGCTGAGATCGCACCACTGCACTCCAGCAGGTGACAGAGTGAGACACTCTCTTAAAACAAACAAACAAGAAAAAACAAAACAAAAAAAATAGCTAGGGTTGGTAGTGTGTGCTTGTAATCCCAGCCACTCAAGAGGCTGAGGCACAGCACAAGAATCACTTGAACCCGGGACGCAGGGGTTGTACTGAGTTGAGATCATGCCACTGCACTCCATCCAGCCTGAGCAGCAGCGCAAGACTCCGTCTAAAAAAGAAAATAAAAAGGATTTCATATAATTTACATATTTCCACATAATTTCTTTGATGTAACTGTCTTATAAAAATTTTTTTTTTAATGGGAGGAAAGCAAAAGGAAAATATGTACCAAGTAAAAATGCTACGAGGCTTTTTTTTTGTTTTTTTAAATCAAGAATTTATCCTGTCAAACAAAGTAAAGTACTTTGTATTAACAGCTAGGTTATGGAGATTTTTATTACCTTAAGTATTTGCATTGTGGCACCTCGGAAAGCAACAGGGGACAAGAGGGTTGGAGGAAGTCCTGCCTGTGGACCTGAGGTAGCAACTAAACTCTTACAGTTAATCAAAAAATTGAGCAATGTAAAGGTGTTGATTCCTTTTACCAACACAACAGACTCAGGTCTGTGATCCATCTGTACTTCATGTTTCTCTTTACGACTGAAGATGACAATCAAGGAAATTGCAAAAGCAAATCTCACCTAATGTGTAAAGCAGTTATCTTGATTCTGAATCACCCAAGACTCCTTTTCACCACAAAGAAATGGAAATCCTCTTGCTACCTCTCTTTACCGAATCATAAGGCATATGTTTCAATCAAAATGTTAACAATCTGAATTTGCTACAAACTGACACCTGAACCTAATTTCTTCTCTAGTCAAAACACACCTATTCTCCCACAAAGAATCACAATTGAACGTTTTGATTAAAAAAGGTTTAACAGTTCACCATTTATTACTTAGGGGCTTATTTAATATTACAATGGACAATTAGTTTTAATATGATCTGAAGATAATTCAAGATTATAGTCATATAAAACTGCCAATGTTAAACTTCTCACTAACGTCATTCAATGAAAATTAATTCTAATTAACAGCAACTGAAAGGATACAGCTTGATAGAAAGTATGTCTGGCTTTTTAATTTTATCTTGCACACCCATCTCTTCCAGCCAGGAAAAACTTTCCTCTTCGTCCTCATCACTGATGGCTTGCTCCCTAGGAAATTGCTACAGTTAGAGTCCCTATTTCTCAAAGCTGCTCTTGTACAAATCTATTTCATGAGTCCGTAAGTCAGTGGATGACATAAAAAGTTATTTTAATCACATACTCCCCATATCCCAAGCTTGTTCCAGATGCTGTCTCCTTCTTATGGCCACTTTCTTTTATTAAAGGCAGAGAAAATTCAATACCTACATGAGGAAAAAAAATGTAACTGAGTTTTCATGTAAAGTATTTAACAGGCAAGCTGCACTTTTAGAGTGTAAAAAATTTGAAATGTTGGTTTTTATAAATGATCTATTAAGGCAGTAGAGTTTTCAAGCTTTCTTCACAAACCTACATACATGCATAAAACATATCTCCTTGAAAGAGGTTCCGGAGACAACACATACATGTGACACTCTTTTGTCAGTTACACTGTATCCCAGTTCACTTTTTGAAAAAGCACTGATTGGGCCCATTAGACAGATTTTATGACCCACTAATGGGTTTCCTCAGTTTGAAAATTATGTTATTAAAAGGGTAACTGGTACTACATAAGAATTTGTAGAAGAGTATATTCAGATGGTGACTATCTGGCCCAATATGTGTTTTATTTTAGAGATCAGAGAAGGGAACACTATGTGGAAGGAACAGTTGAAATCAGGGGTCCCTAACCCGTGGGCTGTGGACTGGTACCGTATGGCCTGTTAGAAACCGGGCCGCACAGCAGGAGGTGAGCGACTGGTGAGTGAACATTACTGCCTGAGCTCCACCTCCCTGTCACATCAGTGGTCGCATTAGATTCTCATAGGGGCACGAATCCTATTGTGAACTGCACATGTGAGGCATCTAGGTTGTGCCCTCCTTATAAGAATGATGATCTGATGTGTAACAGCTTCATCCCGAAACCATCCTCCCCACCATCCTTGAAACTGATCCCTAGTGCCAAAAAGTTTGGGGACTGCTGGATTAAATAATTGTGGGGGAGGAAAAAAAAAACCTAGAAATAAAGAAATAATATATTTCTTAATGTTGCTAATTAACTGGTAAAAGGCATTTTAAATTCAAATACTTTTAGGCTAAAACAAGTTTACTATATAGTATAGTATTCTCACTTTAAACCTAAACTTTTACCTTCGTTTCTCATAGCTTCTCTTAAACCTCGAGTTGTAGGAGATATGAGAGCTGTGATTAAGTCACTTCCAGCTAATCCTGCTGCTCGGAACAGGACAGTAAACTGATAGGTACAAACGTAGAAATAGGGGCAAAGTTTTGTCTTCAGCAAATTATATAGAGAAGTAAAGCTCACGGACCTATGAGGTAAAAACATTTTCTTTAGGTATTATTAAACATTTAATGCAATGTTTATAATTCTGTATAATTCAGTTTGATACCTGGTTTAAAACATAGCACAAATATTTTAGATAATGGTTTGAATTTTTGTGGTTATGTATGACTTAGCTTTAAAGGACTGAAATTGGTTATGAGGACTCGCTGATGACTTCTCAATACTTTAACAGTGTATACCACTTAAACACTTACTTTGTCTTTAAACAAAACTTAATTGAGAATTGCTTGCTGACTTTCTCTGAGCTGCTGATAAAAAAGAAGTAGAGACTGACAAGAAGTAGCATTAAAGAATTAGGGGTGTGTGTGTATTTTTTTTTTTTTTTGCGACAGAGTTTCGCTCTGTCACCCAGGCTGGCAGTGGGGCGATCTGGAGTGCAGTGGCGTGATCTCAGCTCACTGCAAGCTCCGCTTCCCGGGTTCATGCCATTCTCCTGCCTCAGCCTCCTGAGTAGCTGGGACTACAGGCGCCTGCCACCATGCCCGGCTAATTTTTTTTGTATTTTTAGTAGAGACGGGGTTTCACCGTGTTAGCCAGGATGGTCTCAATCTCCTGACCTCATGATCTGCCCGCCTCGGCCTCCTCAAGTGTTGGGATTACAGGCGTGAGCCACCGCGCCCGGCCTGTCGGTCTGTATATATTTAACCAACACTTACATATATTCTACCACAATTGGGTAAAGAATGAATAACAGCTAAAAAACAACAAAAAAAAAGTAAACAGTTTACGTGTTGGTTATTAACAGGTTCAGATAAAATTCACAAGGATCTAGATACCCTTCTGCCATTAACGTATCCAGTCACAAATATGATAGAGAATACTGCTAAAATAAAAATTCACTATTGAATTACACAAATTTTTCTTACTAATCTTACCAGTCACTCATTAAAACATGCTGCAGGGTTGCATCATTTGACCAAGGACCTGTCTTTCCAGCCATTTTTCTATCAGCTCCAATACGAGGGAACAGTGGTAGCCAAGACAAAGCAGGGTGGAGCCAATAGATAAGGCTCTGCTAGAAGGCACAACGGAGCTCAGTGGAGAGTTTGGGATCCTAAATCCAAAGGGGACAGTGGAGAGTTTTTGCCCATTGAGAAATACAGAATTTTTTTGAAGATAATATATACCAAACACTTAGGTCTAAGAATCTTTACTGCTTTCTATAGGAAAGCATTAATAACTGTTATAGGAATGAAAACACAATTTATCCTTATTTGGGCCAGATGTAATGTTAAACCACAGTATCAGAACATTTAAACATAGATGGGAACATCTGCCTGTTTCTACCATTCTTAAGGACAATTCACTACCTTTTTTATCATGAGGAATAGGGGTGGACATGTGCGTATAGGTAACACTATGTCCAGCCCTCTCTCCAAAATGCTGTTTTAAAAGTAGCCAGTAAACACTGATATGGCAAATCACAAATCATCCTAATCTATTTATTGAAACGATGTATAATATACCAAGATCTCTTTCAGGGTAATACTTTTTTAACCTAGTTTGAGACTTCAAAAAAAATTTTTTAAGATACAGTCTCACTCTGTCACTGAGGCTAGAGGACAGTGGCGCAATCACAGCTCACTGCAGCCCTGACCTCCTGGGCTTAAACAATCCTCCCATCTCAACCTCCCAAGTCGCTGGGACTATAGGCACCCACCACCATGCTCAGCTATTTTTTTTTTTTGGTAGAGACGGGGTCTCACTACATTGCTCAGGCTGGTCTCAAGCAATCCTCCCACCTTAGCCTCCCAAAGTGCTGAGATTACAGGCATGGGCTATTGTGCCCAGCCTCCCAGTTTTGAGTTGACGCTTTAAAACAATCAAAATGTATTTCGCTAAAACTATTCTAGAACTCACAAACTCCCCAAAATTTATAAAATTTTCCTTATACAGGTAAGAAAATCAGTAAATCCATCAGCCCTTGCAATCCCACTCAATTGCTTTTCACTTCTTTGTATTTTCTTTCTCAAAAAGCCTTAGAGAAAAATAATTTAACAATTCTTGCCTGCAACACTGATTAATTTGCAGTACAAGTCTCTAAATTTATGAGCAATTACTCAATCTGACTTAAAAAAAAAAAAAGGTATGAAAGCACCATAAGCACCATTTGGGAAAGACAAAATTTCCTAAGTCTTTGTATCTTTAAATTTCCAAAGAAAAACTTAATGGAAGGTAGTATCTCTGCTATTTTGCAAAGGAGATCATTTCACACTTAATTTGTTACTTTAACACATAACTATTTTATTTCAGAGTTACCTGTATACTTTTAGGCAAAGTAACTTCTGTTGCCCTACAATGCTGGACAAGACCTTGAGCCTCTTCCTGTGCTTTCAAATGATCTGCCCAGGTAAAGGGTTGAGAAGAGGTGAAAAGGAGTTGGGTTTTAATACTCCAGTCCACAGGTAACTCAGTATTTTCTGAGGACGGAATATCAGACTCGGAGAACGATACATGTGAAGTCTTTAGAAAACAAAGAATGCAAAAAATTAGTCGAGTATTAAGAAAAAAACCTTCAACCTAAAGATTTTATCAGCTAACATACTCATGATCACTGAAAAGTAAAAATCATATAAACTGTATAATAAATAACACGAAAAATATATTACACACTGTAAAAAAAGTCTGAAAGGAGTCACACTAAACTTTTAACCGTGGTTATCTGTGGGAAGAGGGAATTTGTTGTTGTTGGGGGTAGGGGTTGTGGACGGGCAGATTTCACTTTTTAGTTTTTACAGTTCTTCATGGTAGTATAGATGTCTGTATTGCAGTAGAAATATTCCAAGTGTTTAAACATTTTGGATCTTTTAAGCCTCTGAAACTCTGCATCCAGGGCTAACAAAGCCCATATTTAAGAAACATTTTCTGACTTCATGTATTTCCCCTCAATCTGTCTGCTGTCCTTTCATGTCAACATTCTCTACGATACAAGAATTTTTTTTTTTTTTTTTAAATTGAGACAGAGTCTCCCTCTGTCGCCTAGGCTGGAGTGAAGTGGTGTGATCTCCGCTCAGTGCCAACCTCTACCGCCTGGGTTCAACCGACTATCATGCCTCGGCCTCCCCAGTAGCTGGGACTACAGGCATGCGCCACCACGCCTGGCTAGTTTTTTTGTATTTTCAGTCGAGGCGGGGTTTCGCCATGTTGGCCAGGCTGTTCTCAAACTCCTGACCTCAGGTGATCCGCCTGCCTCAGCCTCTCAAAGAGTTGGGATTACAGGCATGAACCACCATGCCCGGCCAAGGATTCTTTTATATCACAATAAAATATCAGAGAAGGGGGAACTATCTTTGATAGACCATAAGAAGGTCACTTATTTACAAGAGAAACTGGGTCTTGGAGAACTCTTCTAGCCTGTTCCCATTAGGACAAACCGCATTTATCAAACTACACAGCACAACAGTAGCGGTTGGGGAATGGAAACGTGTGTATGTTAGCGCAGGGGAGCAACGAGGTTCAGTGCTATGCAACAACCTGTGGAGGTGGGCCAGGAGGGCTGGCTCTGAGTGATGAGCTGGAGAAGTCAACTGCCCAAAGAAGAGTATTAAAAACTGTTAGAGGGTAAAAGACAACCCCCATGTCTATTAGGCCTATTTTAGCACTGGCTATCTTTACAGTCATCATTACTGTATCAAACCAACTCCTTTACCTTGGCTGATGTCGTATTTTCACCCCTGGTATTTTCACCCCTGATCAAGCCTCTCTGTAAAACTACTTTCCAAGCAAAATGCTTCTGAGAAGTATAAATGTAGTTTTAAAAATTGGCTCAAATCCTAGCTAGGAAAAAAAAGTTTATACAAATACACATTCTAATGATATTTAAAAAGTATTACCTGGGGTAATTCAGTAACAGTTGTTCTTTCAGGGAACTTCTCTTCCCATAGCAAATCATTTTCTTGATTAGAATCTAAAAACTGAGGTTAAAAATATTGTCCTTTAAATTTTAAAGGATGCTGAAGTTTGCATTAAGTATGTACAGAGCCTCACCTGGCATACACGCTTCTCAATAAATCCAAGTGCACCCAAATTCAGACACACCCCATCCAATCTATGAGTTTCAACACTTCAGTTTTGTGCCTGAACTTTAGTATCAAAATTGAGGGGAACAAGGACCGGTGTTTCCAACAGAAAGATCCAAAAGGCTTTGGATAGGACAAATGCTAGGGAATTCTGACCCCACGAATCCTCAACATTCCCCCATCCCCACAATAATTTGGAGTGCGTGAGAGAAGGGAGGCCCTGAATCACGGGGGAAGCAGGGTTTGTCACCTGCCCCATCGAACAGCGTCCTTGCAAGATGGGGGTCTCAGGGTTTTTCGAGCTCTCTTCTAAGTCACCTTTAAGTCCTTCAAGGGGCCCCTCACTTTCCTCGGGAACGCGTCCCGTGAGTACAGCCCGCAGCGGGACAGCCGGAGGCGCGCTCTTCCCGCAAATCCGGCCTTGCCAGAGCCGCGGCTCCCAGCGCGGGGCACCCTAAAGCCACGGGCGGCCGAAGTCTTCGCGCCCATTTCCTTGCCTCCAACGCGAGGACTTTCCACCCCCGATTCACAGCTGGCTCAACCCATGACAGAGCCCCTTGGCGGCCAGGCTACAAGACACTCACCGGGCCCGGCGCCTCCGGCTGCTCACGG